TTCTCCCATAATATTGCTTCAACCTTAGATCTCTCCCTAATCTTAAATTTATGCATTTGATTATCATTTTTGTTATCAATTGATATCCTTCTTCCTAACATTTATGAGATTTTTCCAATGCTTTTCTTCTCATCAAACGTAGTCAAATGACTTACGTGTAACATCATACAAGCGTGTAACTATTTACTTCTTCTACAATACTATGTTTAATTTCAAACAAAAGTATGGCTAATGAAGGAAAATTACGTAAAAATAATGTATTTAAACTAATTAATTGAATTGGTCTGGGCCAATATTCTTGTCATCACTCTTCTTCCCTTAAGTTCAATTCAAAAACTATTCCACAACTATTTTTTCCTTCATCGTGCTGAAGGAAGTGTACTTTTTCGCTTTTAAATGCTCGAAATAATTGCTAGCATTGCCGAGACTATTTTATTTAATCCATTTTAGAAAGTCATCTTTCATTACCCACAAATATAAGTAGCTAAAATGAATTTCGAATGTTAAAGTAAAATTGGAAAAAAAAGAAATTTGAAATTGAAATATTTAAAAATTTAATCGAGAACTGTGATTGATTGGAAAAGAATAAATAGTTGTCAGATTCTTCAATAAATGATGAAAATTATGCAACTAAACTTGAGTTTAATAATTCCCGAAATGTCAACAACATAGTAAAAGGATGTCAAACATTCTTACCATTCATTAGCGTCTTCTTCTAAACTCAATAATTCCGAACGTTTCTTTGATAACATGGAACCTTTCGGAAGAAAAATGATAAAAAAAAAAATGAAAAAAAAAATGGAGCCTTTCGGATAAATAAATGTCTGATAAACGGATTAGAGAAAGATCATTTCTTGATATGCGAGAAAGTGTAAGAAGGTAGAAAAGTTAGAAAAATATTCAACCGATTTTCCTATGAGTGAGATCATTAACTGAACTCACACCTGCTGTCCATAATATAATTATTAAAAAAAATTTGTTAAAAATGCCCTTCTACAGCAAATATGCAAAAAAGCTAATAATGAGAATAGAAATCAATCTTATTTTCTTCTTTTTTTAATTGAAAAACTTTGAGTGTCTTGTTTCCCAAGCAATTTTTAAATGCTACTGAGAGGAAATAGAAGAGGGATCCTATAGTATTCCCGAGATTTCATACTTTCATCATAGTGGAGTAGAAATTATGGGAAGAATGTAAATTGTGCATGAAGAAGGAAGTGAAAAGTTAAACTTTCAAAGAGATACTAACAACTACACGTTGTGTCTTCTCCACGTAAGCACCTTGTCGGTGGGCAAAAGCTTGCGTGCCTTTATAAGGTTGCGAGTTATGCTGGCGGTATCAATTGCTCTCACTAGAGCCTCGCATACCATATAGGTCTCAACTGAAGGATCAGACAAAGTCTATTTGAGGGCAGGATGGACTCGTTAGTCTTCGGGCAACCATCCTAGGAGAAGGACAACTTCGATCCTAAAGCCGGGCAGATAGAGCTCGTTTAGCCCTGTAAAGCCATCCATCTCAGAGAAGGATACTCTAACTAAACCCACCTCCTAAGGACTTTGCTGCCACCATCCAAGCTTGCTAGACCCCGGCAGATGAACCTTAGGAGTAAAGGGTGGAACCAGTTCTCGTGCACTGTCCCTCACCCAAAGAATCCACGGCGGGCTTGAAGGACACACCCACTTTTTTAACTCCTCTAGTGACAGGCAAAGGACGAAACGGCATCATTTAGAATGCTGCCGAACAAGACTGTCATCTCCAGAGTCAATCTCGAGCAACTCTTATTCTAAACCGTCTACATGCAGGATTGAGTCAATCTCGAGCAACTCTTATTCTAAACCGTCTACATGCAGGATCTGCTGCTTCCAATGCATCCTATCATCCTGATCAAGCAGTCTTTTCCAAGGAAAGTACTGCTTCTCCATGCGAAGAGAGGCCTAGAAAAGGTTGCCTAACCTTTTCATCTCCTTCGCCACTCGGTTGGGTAACCGCTAGCAGACATCTTTTGACACGTCGAACAAAGACATACATCTTCCTCCAAAGTTGTATACAAATTGACACTAGGTGTTGGAATATCAGATGCTTGATAATGTGGACAGTAGACGTCCTGAGTGTTGCTCTGACCTATTTGCTCACAAACTCTCACGATTAAATATCGATATTGCTGTCTCAGTGAAGTTCGTTTCCATGAGGACGGAATCCCTAATGAATATGGCGCCGGTTACACATTCTACTGGTCAAGAAAAACCCAGAATTGAAAATCATCTTTCAGAAGTTCGTCCCATGGTTAAAAACTCCACCGCCTCCAAATTCGAAAATCTGCTGACATTTCTGACCGTACTATCACCCACGCTTCCCACAACACAGTAAGCAACAAGTCAAATCTTCAGCATACATCCATGGAAAAAAATAGATTCTATACTGATCTACGCCGTATTATCCAAAAATGGAGAGAATTCTGAAGCCTAGAAAGCTGTATTAGATGTGCATGGTATCGGAAACTGCAACGAAACTGCTAGAATTTTGTGCAGAGCAGCAGCTCACCACCACAAATACTATCTTTTAGCAGAGAGAGTTCGAAGACAACTTTGATGCATCCTTGATTCAAGCACTGGCATCTCATTGACTACGGTTTTAATTCGCCAAAGAAATGTTCACGATGTTCGTCGCACTTATGTGATGCCTAGGGCAGAATGTCAAACAGACCATCGCTTTGTGCAATGTATACTCAACCGCTTTATATCAAATCTCGAGACAGGCAAAATTGTGAGAGGGAAGCTCAAAGTTAATAATCTCTAAACACAGTCTTTAAACTAGACTTCAAGAATATCCCACAGATCCCACTCCTGAAGCACTTTGGTAATCATATTAAAACTACCATCTTGCAAGAGGAATAAAGACTGATTTGATGAAAATAATGAAGAGATCCAGAATTTTTTACAAGGAAGGGATCTCCTCACCAAGCACACCTTGCTTAGCCATCTTGTCATATGAGATAAGACATTTTTAGCCTTGCATGCAGCAAGTTTCAACAAAAATTTCGAGTCATCCGAAACAAATGGTGGATCAACCTAGCAGAAAATATTCAACTATGCGCAGATTCGGGCAACTGCAGAGATTCTACGAGGCTCTGAAAGCTGTGTATGGATCCACACACTGGTCAAAACTCTTTACTCAGCGCAGATGGCCAAACGCTTTTCACTGACATAACCTCTACCCTGAATCGATGGTCTGAACATTTCCAGATTCCCTTTAGTGCCGACTGTTCAATCCAAGGCTCAGTAACTCAGTACATTACATAACGATAGCTGAAAAGCGAACTGGATACAACTCTGACTATACAGCGACGCTCAAAGCCATATATTAAATGAAAATTGCAAGGCAACTGGAATTGATGATATCCTGCCTAAGGTCTGGAAACACGGTGGTCAAGCATTCTATGTTAGGTTTCACAAGCTCGTTCTGCGATTCTGAGAAAGAGGCAAACTTCCACTAGATCTCCGTGATGCAGTTATTATCGCTGTATAAAAGAAGAAAGGAGTAAAATCAGATAAATCAGACAAATTACGGAGCTGTCACCCTGATCTTTATTGCTGGCAAAATCCTTGCAAGAAATTTCTGAACAGATTGGTACTCGCCATATTAGAAAAAGTTCTACGTGAAAGTCAGTGTGGCTTCACAGCAAATAGGAGTACCACAGACATTGTCCTTCGACAACTGCAAAAGAAATGCAGGGAACAGAACAAAGGTCTTTATACAACCTTTATAGACCCCACCAAAACCTTTGACACTGTAAGCAAAAAAGTCCTGTGATAGATCTTAGAACGATTAGAATGCTCTCCCAAGTTCTTGAAAATGATCATGCTATTACATGAAAATCAATGAGGCTAAGTTAGATGTGCCGATGCACTTTCAGAAACTTTCCCAATAATCAATGAGGTGAAACAAGGTTGCGTTCTTGCACTAACTCTCTTCATAGTCTATTTCAGCATAATGCTTCAAAGGGTCACAGTAGATTTAGATAAAGAAAATGGTATTTACATCCGATGTCATGCCGATGGACGTCTACTCAACCTAAAGCGACTGAAAGCCTAACGAAGACCTAAATTACCACGTCCAAGTCCTACTTTTTTGCCGATGATCCTTGTTCACACAGAAACAATTCTGCAGCGCCTAACATCCTGTTTTGCAAAAGCCGTAGAGCTTTTGAGGCTAGGCGTTAGCTTGAAGAAGACAGAAGTTCTTTATCAGCCCCCACCACAGGATAATCACTTTCATCCTCCCATCACCATCGGTGAATCAGAGCTTGAATCAGTCCAACTGTTCAGTTATTTATACAGCATCACTTCTTCCGACATCAAAATTGACAAAGAGATTGACAGCAGATTAACAAATGTCGGGAAAACCGTAATAATTGTATCATAGAATTATTCGTTCAAATATTTTGCATTTACATTTTGTTTTTTTTTCTTCATACTTAAAGTCATGAGTCAGTTGTTTCATCTTTAAATCGTCTAAAGGAGCTTTGTCTGATATTGAGTTTTACGCACATCTGAATGACAATGAAGCTTATCCACATTGATGGGCATACTGTAGAGATATCTATTCTCATAAACATGTTTTTATCCAATGGTACATTACTAGATTTCTGTCAAGCATCGCATTTCTTCCCTTTGTGTGGCCGAAATGCAAACGAAGGATATTGTGATTGAATCCATCACTTGTTTTTGATATAAATATGTAAATTTGTCTGGCAGTTGTTTCCCTTCACACATTCCTTATATAAATCATACGAAATTCTAACAATTCTTCATTGTTAAAACCCATCAGTTAGCACTAAGCTTCACTCATTTAACCATTTATTTCCTCTCAATTCATTAATTACCACTTACAAATTTCTCTCCCATCTATTATTATTTTTTTGGATGTCATTTATTGAAAGTGGAATTAGTCTGAACTCATTTCTACTGTATTTGGTACCCGGATGATAAGAAAGGATAAACCGCTATACTTTTCGGACATACAACAACACCGATACACTGTAAGTCATTCCTTCAGAACTTAACTGTCTCTTCAACGACTAAAAACAATCTCCCTTACCTTCTTTTCTTTCACAACAGCAGAGGCGTACAGAGCTTTCGGAAAACTTCATAAAAGAATTTGGTGTAATAAAAACATCTGAAGAAAAGTACCAAGATTAGTTAGTGTATTTAAAGCTATTGTACTGTCTATTTTGCTATGGTTCTGAATCATTGGTCACCTTACATCATCTGCGATTCCTCGAACGCTTTCACCAGCGCTGTCTCCGTACAGTTCTAAACATTCACTGGTCTGACTACGTATCAAATGTTACTATCCTCACACAGATGGGGTCATCAGCATTGAGATCATACTATTGAAGACACAGCTGCGCTGGGCTGGACACATTCCCAGGATGAAGGATCACCGCCAGGATAGAGGATCACCGCCTTCCTGAGATTGTGCTTTACGGCGAATTAATCACCGGCTTCTGCAAAGGAAAAGCCTCAAAAGAGAGGTACAAGGACGCCCTGAAACAATACCTTAGCCTTGGCTTCGAAAACTACCATCAACAGTCTATTCTGGCTTCGAATCGGGGAACGTGAAGACACATTATCCATAATGCTGTCTGCTTTCTTCGAGAACACGCATGTAACCAGTCTCGAGGAGAAACGACATTGCAGAAAAAACCGTACCTCATTAATATCCCTGAAGCAGACCTTCCATTGTGCCTTTTGCACTCGAAGTTGACTTGAGTCCCGCATTTCCTCTTAGCCATCAGTGCGACTGCAGCAAATATGGATATAGCTCTTTACATATCTTCGTTTACGAAGCCTAACCACGACGACACGTTGTGTGACATCTTTGAGAAGTAAGCAAAAAGTTTAGTTTATTCCAAAACAAAATGGAATGAAGGGTGAAAATGGAAGAAGAAAAGAGTTGTAAACAAAAGTTTTCATATTATTAAAACATGAAAAAATATTTTTTATTTTATTAACTTCTAAAATGTTTGTCAAATTGAAATTTTCTTTACAAATTTATTTGTCATAAAGAAACAAGTAAAAATTTACTTTAAAAGGTTAAAAAACAATTAAAAAAATAAAAAATAGGAAATTAAATATGCAAGAAATTAAAATTGATCATTTTTAAAATAAAATTAAATAATATTATCAATCCTAACCTTGAACATTCCATAAAATTGTTCGCCTCATTTAACATATTCTAATTTTGTTGGTTTTATCAACAAAAACATAAAGTATATCTACCATAGCCTGGCCAAATATCATTTTTGCAAAAGCATACTTTTAGCATTATGAACATTAAACGACGTGAAATTACTATATATAATATAAATATATTATGGCAAGATAAAGTTCAAACAAAATAAAGCGGTAAAATAAGGTTCAAAGTTCATTCTTGCAAATGTAATTCATTCAATCCAAACTTTTTAAGAAAAAAAAAGAAATTCCCCATTAATTTCTTGTCGTTTCTATTAAATATTTAACATTGTTATAAATGATTTTTTGTTCGTCAATTTTTCCTTCATCTCATACATTTGTTGAACATATTCCGGAAAGGAAAAGATTATTCCGTCCTATTCCAATCCCGGAAAGGGAAAGATTATTCCGTCCTATTCCAACCGCTTCTTCCTTATAAAAATAATAATCTAAATTACAGATTAGCGTATTGAAGGATAGAAACTGATCAACCAAAGACCAGAAATGGTGAAGGAAATATGAAGCGGAAACTACAACAACATCAACTTAACGTTGTTTCTTCATTTATTTTGCTAAAATCATCTTTTCACCCATCCCTTCCCGGCATTTTTCGCTTCCCATTACAACTCTTTCAAACATTTTAAAGTTTTCTTTTAGAATTTCCAACATATTATCTTGCGATTTTCGAATAATTTTCCGCCTTTCCATTCTAAATAAGCTTTGGTTTGATAAAAATTATCAGCTATTTATGCAGGTGGATCAGAAAAATTGAGTTAAAAATGATAATGAAAACGATTCATTGCATCATGTGACATTTGCGCAGCTTAACTCAATGAGTTGCCACTATCGAGAAGAATTCAAAAAAGTTTGCGTTTTTAAATTTTTTGAAAGTTTCAAAAATACAATATGTTTTTTAGCAAGCTTTGCAAGTACCTTTGGGAATTTAGTTAGACGTACGATAAGTATGGTTTAACCTTTGATCTGTCCAATGATAGTTTCAAAAGTTTGATTTGCAGCGATTATACGAATTAATGTTACAGCATCTATTTATTATCAATGATACAGTATGATAATGAAGGGACAGAGATATGAATTGACAAGAGATAGAAGAGGACAAATTAAGAGTGTACGAGAATTTTGATAATGAAAGAATGTTAAGTAAATGTTAAGAAATTTGAAAGGGAATGAAAAGAGAGAGAAATAACGAAAAGATAATTGATGTGATGAGGATTTGCAGTTATATGTGACAGATAAAGTGAAAAAAGAAAACAAACAGATTTCGAAGGATAAGGTTATTTCGAATGTAATTAATCATTTCATCATCGCTTTTGAAGATTATGCGACTTAATGTATAACTTACTCTTTGTCATGTTTTCCTGATCCGGATTACGGTTAATTGCTTAAAATTTTGTAACCTTTTAAAATTTGTGACCATCCCATCCGATTTTAATATTTGTTGGACAATTTCCCTTGACCGAAATGTCTCACATAAAATATTTATTCACGGGTATGTTAAGGGAAAAAGAGAAAGGATGAAATGTGTACTGCACTGATTGTTGAAATTTCCGGATTAAAACTAAAATTTGTTCTATTTCCTGAAAGAATATTTGATTTCTCAAAAAGGAATGTTAGCACAATTTAGCACAAGTTAGCACAATTTTTTTTCTAAAATTAATAATTTTACGGTCAAATCAATGACAAACAGGGACGATTTGCAGTAATCGGAAATGATTTTTTGACTGAAGTACACGATTTGGGAGTATCAGAGTCGATTTTTCCGGATAAATAAATAAGAAAAAATGAAATTTTAACCGATTTCTCTTCGTTGGTTTCTCTGTTATTAATTTTGAACTTTGTCCAAAATTTTTGATGGTTTGAAATTTGATTTCAAAACTTACTTTAAATTACTTCACATTTTCCAGTGCTACATAACATTTTATTGGATAGCTAAATTGAATTTCATAAAGCTATTGAAAAATAGCTTTGAAAAAGCTGAAAACATCAATTATGCTGTGAGAAACGCAAAAAATTCCATTAAATATGCAAATTTCGTCTTGAACACTCAAAAAAAAATACTTGGAATGATTGGAAATGATAATTGAATGGATTGATGAATCAGTGAAGAAGAATGAATAATCATCGTATTGCAACTGCTAATAATTTGTAAATAACGAGGAAATAACTAATTCATTAATAATAAAAAACTGAATTTTCCCACCAACAAACTTTGAATGAAATCTTAAAATTTAATGAAATTTCTTAAAATCTTCGATGTGAGAAGTGGTGGACATTAATTAACTAATGAAAATTCTAAATGAAAATGATGAAAATTAATTAACTAATGAAAATTAATTTTGTATTATTTTTGAATTCTTAATTTGTTTTTTTATTTGCCAAAAATATCTCTATGAATTGAATGAGTAACCTTATCATAATGCTCAGGAATAATGCCAAGAGGAGGTTTGAAAATTTGCTTCAAATTTAAAGGAATTCGAAATTATGACTCAAAATAGTGAGAACATATAGGAGTAAACCGGTGTGACCTGTATTCGTTTTTCTTGATATTTTCGGTAGGTTATATGCATATTCACAAATTGCTAAAAACACAATTAGTATTCTACAACAAACTTCTAATTTCATTTTTAGCTAAAAGACAAATCGTTTTAATATTCCATTATAATGGACAACCGGAACACATAGTGATTTCCGGTTGCACCGGTACTCCAAATTGCTTTATTTGTCTTGAAAGTGTCATTCGTGTTCTTTAATGCTATAAGCTATGTAAGGTTAATAAACATTCGAACTTACAGGATTGAAATTATTTAAAATTTGAAAAACATCCCAGAAAATAACCTTTTGCAATAAAAAAAAAAGCAGGAAAGCAGTTATTGAATTTACTTTTAAGTTTTTTTTGTTACAAAAAAAAAAAATTAATAATAAAAAGTATTTAGAATGGCAAATTGGCATGAACAAATAAATGATAATGTTTGGTTTTCTCTGAAGGATTAAAGCATAGACACTAACGGAAAGTAATGAATATTCGGTAAAATGTCGGAAATAAAAACGGAAATGGAATTTAATGATCGAATAATATTGAAAAAACTCTTACTGAGTGATGACCTCATTTTATTAATAATGTAACGATTCGTTGATTTCAAATGATTGAAAATCAAATTTAATTTAATACAAGTGTATCTTTGTAGTTATGAATAACTCTCATCTTTTCCATGTTTTTGGCCATCCTCAGATATGATTAAAAGTAATCGATGAAAGTAACCGTTCTTCTCTTTTTTAAATAAATTGAACTTGTTAATACATTAAATGTGGAGTACTTCACGAGATGAACTGACTCATTAAATTTGCTTCTTTTTCAGAACAACAAAATAGCAAAATTCAACAGTCTTTTAATAAGAACAACAATTTGTGAATCAATCAGTCAATGCAAACAATCAACCAATCGATCAGTAAATCAATTTTTATATCAATGTTACTGAAAGTTGTGAGGAAGAAAGAAAACGAAATAAGTAAGAATGATATGAGAAAATATAAAATTGATAATTAATTGATAAACCGATGAAAATAATTGATTTTATTAAATGAAATGATAAAAAACTTTCATTACTTTATGATAAGAAGTTGAAATGCCATCAAGATTTGTTGAAGGATGTATTATCCATTGTTAGACTTAGATACAATATTGGTAAATAATTATGATAACACTTGCTTGCATCGCTATCAGCAAGTGATTATTCCATTTTAGCTATGTGTCTCAATTTTAGATGACACTTCAAATACAGTGACAGTGATGGATTTATTCCTTACAATCCATCATTTATTTTATACTACTTCTTCAACACTGTTAACACAATACCTCCAATAATAATTGTATAGTAGTAATAACTGTAGTAACAGTTACATAACAGTAGCAGCAATAGTAGCGCTAAAAGTAGTAGCAGTAGTAGTAGTAGTAGTAGTAGTAGTAGTAGTAGTAGTAGTAGTAGTAGTAGTAGTAGTAGTAGTAGTAGTAGTAGTAGTAGTAG